ATAATAATAATAATAATAAAGCAGCTCTGAAGACAGCTGAATACAGAGCATATGCCTAGCATGTGTAAGGCCCTGGTTTCCATCCCTAAGTACTGCCTTCTACAAAAGAAACAATTTTTCATTTTATCATTGTGAAGGTGCTACACACTATTCAAGATCACATCTCAGATGTTTCTGCAGAGTGCTATAAGTCATTGTTATGCCCATAGGATTATAGGTGAGAATTTATGAAGTGATCCATGTAAACATGGAGATACCCATGTTTCAGGGCCAGGGTGTCTGACTAGCAAGACACCACCCAGTGGTGAGGAGGCTCAAACTCTGCCAAAATAAAAGTAAGTGGCTCTCCTGCCACCTGGCACGTTTGCCGTTGCCACAATGACGTACAGAGCGGGCTGCCGTAGAAACCACTGAACTGCTTCTCCAGGAATGGCCCACTGAGCCCTGTGTGCGGCCGCTGGGGACTGTCTAATGTGTAAGGTGTTTGTCTGGTTGGTTGTCTGGTTTGGTTTCCATTTTGATGAGCTATTGTTTGCTTTCCCTTTCTGAGCAAAGGTCTTTCTGTATACCCCGAGCTGGCCTCATGGCACTCTCAGCCACCCTCCTGAGTTCGCTTCCTGAGGGCACCACCTCAGCCAGCTAACGTGTGGCTTTCATAACTCACCCAGACACTGAAGTCTGGTATCTTGGCATCGAGCCATTTCAATAGGCTTCTCAGGTGAGTCTGACGCAAGACAACTTGGGGACAGGATGACGTGACAGAACTGCCGATGTGGCCATGTCACTGACTTGCTCAAGCTCTGAACTGGGTCTGTAAAGCCACAGAAGCCACCTGAAAATACAGCCAAGGCCGCTTTGGTGTTCACACCGCCTCGCCTCCAGTCTCCCCTCCCTCTGCTGAGTGCTGTGTGCTGGAAACCCAAGCATCAGGGAACTGAATGAAGCTTCCAGAGCCGGAGCCTGGGGCTTCCTGGCCCCTTGTCTGTGCTCACCACGGCTCCGTCATCCCCATCTGTCCGGAACACTTGGATTTTCCTTCCATTTGAAATTGAAATGTCTTCTCTCCTCCTCTTCCTCCTCCTCCTCCTAGCAGAGTCTCACTATATAGTCCTGGTTGTCCTGGAACTCCCCATGTAGACAGGCCTCAACTCACAGAGGATGTCCTATCTCCGCCCCCTGAGTGCCGAGATTCAAGACGTGCTTCATCATGACTAGCTATGGAATGCTGTTTTCTGTTTTTGTTTTTGTTTTTTCTGCCTTTTTTATTTTCTACTTTTATTTTTGAGACAGGGTCTCTCTACATAGCCCTGGTTGTTCTGGAACTTGGTATGTAGACAAGGCTGTGCTCAAACTCACAGAAATCCACCTGCCTATGCCTCCAAAGTGCTGGGGTTAAAGGCCTTCACCACCATGCTGGTATTTGTAACTTTTTAAGATAGGCCTAGGTGTGTCAAGCAAGCAGGCCTCACATCTGCTACATAGCTGTGGAAGACTTTTGAATTTCTGATCCTCCTGCCTCCACCTCCCCAGAGCTGGGATTACAGATGGGCACAGCCACACTCAGTTTCTGCTGTGCTGGATATGAAACCCAGTTTTCTGTATGCTGGGAAAGCACTCTACCAACTGAGAGCTACATCTCTAACTCCAGAAAGTTCGTTCTTGCTCTCTCCTTCCTTACACACTCTGGGTGAAGTCAGCATCCTCATTCCTTTCATAGATTCTGATCACTGATGATATACTTTATTATAGAAGTTTTCTTTTCTTTTTGGGGGGAGGGTTTTTTGAGACAGGGTTTCTCTGTGTAGCCCTGGCTGTCCTGTAACTCTCTCTTCGGACCAGGCTGGCCTCGAACTCACAGAGATTTGCCTCCCAAGTGCTGGAATTAAAGGTGTGCACCACCACCGCCCAGCTAAAGATATTATTTTCTTAAGAGCATATCTATCAGAATAAAAGCCTTGAGGACAGGAAAGAGGTGTCAGTTTTGGTGTAAACCACAGACTAACTGAATAGATTATGCAAGAGAAAAAGGAAGTGTTGGTAAAATGCTGCAAGCTGTAAAGGCAGGAGATGAAGAGCAAGTGTATCATCCTCTAAGAGGTAGGTGCTGGGAACGCTGTGACTCCATGAAAAGGGAGGGCCATGAGGTTGAAAAGGCCACAGTGAGAGGTAGCACTCCAGAGTCACTGTGTGTCATGGAAACACACATAAACATACACTGCATTGCCTTCACCACCGAGGTCCACAGTAGTCAGTCAGAAGAGTCTCTTAAACTCAGAGATGAAGAAAAGAATCCACCTAAAGAGGAGGACAGTGAGGGTGAAGAGGCGCTCGGCGGCCAGAACCAGTAGCGGTCCACTCCTTGGTCTGTCCTGGTTTCCTTCTTGTTGCTATGATAAAACATTCCACCCAAAAGCAAATTATTAGGCTTCACCTCCAGGTCACGGCCCATTATCGAGGGAGTTTGTGGAAGGAACTCAAGGCAGGAGGCTGAAGCAGAGACCATGGAGGACCGTTGTTTTCTGGCTCACTCCCAGGCTCATGTTTAGGTAGCTTTCTTATATAGCTCAGGACCACCTGGAGAGAGGTGCTGCCTGCAGTGGGCTATGCTCTCCTTCATGGACAAACAACCAAGACAACTTCTCATTGTCATACACAAGCCCAGAGAGCAACCTGATAAAGACAATTCCCCAGTTACTTTCTAGGCGGGGTCAAGTTCGCAGTTAATGCTAACTAACTAACTAGAACATCCCTTATCCTGCCTCTGATGACTAGTGATCTATTTGACACCAAGTAGGCTCCCTCATTAAATGCCTGCAGAATGAGTTAAGTCAGAGACAGAACATGTGTTTAACTCCACCTGGTAGGCGTCACTGTCCATTCCATCCATTTACTTCTAACAAAAACTCTACCTGCAAAAATTGCCTATCACTGGTGTAATAGTGACTTGACTGTTCTGGGATTAACCAACTGATTTCTGATTGGATTTTAGGTCTGGTCAAAAGGAGAGAATACATACTTGATACTGTAAACCTATTCATTAGCTTATGGCTAGGCCAGGCATGTTGGTGTGCTGTGGAATATTCCTTTACACTGTGTGAATATATGTCACAGGGATTGGTTTAATAAAGACGCTGACTGGCCAATAGCTGAACAGAATAAGTTTAGGGAGGAGAGCCAGACAAGGAGAATTCAGGGAGGAAGAAGAACAGAGCCTGGAGTTGCCAGCCAGATGCAGAGGGAGCAGGAGATAAATATGCCATGTTAATAAAGGTACTGCCACATGGTAGAGTGTAAATAAGGAATATGGATTAACTTAAAATGTAAAAGCTAATTAGTAATAAGCCTGAGCTATTGACCAAGCATTTATAATTAATATAAGCCTCAGTGTGCTTGAAAGTGGCTGCAGGACAGGAAAACTCTGCCTACATTGGTGCTTGTCTTTAATTCCAGCATTCAGGACGAAGAGGGAGGCAGATCTCTGAGAATTCAAGGCCAGTTTGGCCTACATAGTAAGTTCCAGGCCAGCCAGGGCTGCATTGTAAGGCCCATTTTCAAAAACAACAACAATCAAAACCAAAAACTAAGCAAAAAGGGAGCTGAGTTACAGCTTAATGATTAATTGTTTGCCTGAGAGACAAGGCCCAGCATCATAAAATTAAACAACATAAAATAAAATTAAAAGTGTCAGCTGGCCATGCTGGTACATGCCTTTAATTCCAGCAGAAGCAGATGCAAGCATTCTCTGAGTTTGAGGCTAGCCTGGCCTAAAAAGCAAGTTCCAGGACATCCAGAGCTATACAAAGAGACCCTGTCTTGAAAAGAGGAAAAAAAAATTTAAAAGTCTCAAAAACGAACATCAAAGGGTAAAGACTAGGAGAAACTGGATGAAGACCGGGAGATTGTAATACATTACAGATTTTGTAGTATTATGTGTAGTCCACAGAGTAGTGTGTATTTGTCCATATGATTGCATTAAATCTATAGCTGTCTCCAACCTATTTTTCCCCTCCTATCTCAGCTTCTCAAGTACTGTTATTACAGGCGTGCCCTACCATATGCAGGTGTGAGTTTTATTTTATTCCTCACTTTATCATTTACATCAGTACTGGGGAGCAAACCCAGACCTCATACAGGCTAGGCAAGCACACCACCACTGAACTACATCTAAAATGGTGGTGTTTTCTTGAGGTGGTCTCATTCCACAGCCCTGAATGGTAGTCCAGGCTGCCCTGAAACTTTGGATAATCCTCCTAAGTTCTGAAAATGAAGGCATAAGCCATGATATCTGGCTTATTTGCCTACTTTTGAAACACAGCCGTGTTCAAATGCAGCCCAGGCTGGCCTCGAACTCGCAGCAATCCTTCTGCCTGACTGCTGGCATCGTATTTGTACACCACCAAGTGGGGCTCTGAATCAGGAAACTTTCCAGTGCCCCGGGCTATCTATCTCTCCCTGATTGAAGTATTGAGTCAATCACCGAAATGGTCATAGGTCGGCTCTGAGGCTTATTAAGATACCAACTTGGAGGCCAGATAGACTCATCCGGCCTCCAGTGGGTGTTCTCAAACTGCACTTTGCAGAACTCTGAGTGCGGTCGCCGGGTGGAATGCTCAGGTTTCACTCTCCGGGGACCTCGAGCTTCTGCAGCCTGGTAGCTCGCGGAAGAACGTTTGCAAGCGGCAGCCGCGCGCTCTGCCTGCGCTCCACCGAGAGGCCCCGCGACGCGGCTGGCCGAGTCAGGAGGCGGCGATCCCGGCTGGGCCGGGACTTCCTTCCTCCGGGGAGGGACAACAGAACCCCCCCGCAGCCCGCACCGAGCTCCTGGCAGCCAGCAGAGCTAGCGCGCAGCGATGGGCTCCCTGCTGAGCAGCGACAGCTCCAAGTCCGCTCCCGCCTCCGCCTCCCCGCGGCCCCTGGAGCGCAGCGGGGACCCGGAGCTTCCCATCACCTCCTTCGACTGCTCGGTGTGCCTGGAGGTGCTACATCAGCCGGTTCGGACCCGCTGTGGCCACGTGTGAGTGTCCGGGAGCTCGGGTGGCGCGACCACCCAGCGGGGAAGGACGCCGGGGAAGCGGAGGGCACAAAGTGGGTGGGAGTAGAGCAGCGACTATTGGGGAACCCGATGCAGGGCTGGTTGGGGGACGCTTACACAGGACTGAGAGCCGGGGCTCGTGGGGCGGTATGGCAGGGGGTTCCCACCATGCACAGTAGCCCAGCTGATTCTGACTGATCTGGGTGTGTCTCTCACTCTCCTGAGAACCTGGGTGGGTTTTGTTTTCCTGGATCTGTGCACATGTTCCAGAACCTCCGGAGGCTTATCTCTTGTGCTGTAGAGGATCTGCACAAACTCTTTCAATTCTCACCCCACATCCCTTTCCCAACACACACAGACGTGTATTGCCAAAGGCTTTCTGAGGTCGCTCGGACGTTTGCTCCATGCCACTGAATTAATTCACCCATTTAAAACTCAGATGCAAAGTGACTGGAGGTTGTGTGCTACCTGCCATAGGCACCGGCCTCTCCCAGAACCGAAAGTTTAGACAGTTTTCCTCAAAATCTCGTATCGTGTAGTGAAAACTCACTACCGTTGCAAAGCAGTGGTAGTTTCTACGGCTTTAAAAATGAAGCCCCGATCGTAATGGGTATGCTCTTAGGGGATGTTTGACTAAGCAGAGAGGCCTTCGATGTGTGAATTTGTGTTAGCCGTTTGTTCCGGCAGTTTTGTTTTGTTTTGTTTTTTTCTTGGTTACATGGGTCTGAGTTGTGTGATTGCATGTATAGGTCGAAAGCAAAGCCCACTCTATGAAACTAGCTACAGCAAGATAAAGCAAAAGAACACAAACACTGTACGCTGGTGCCGACTTTCCGCTTATCAACCAAGCCAAACCAAACCCTGTATATTAAAAATGCATATGCACGACTGTGGTTTTTAACGGCACTTGAGTAAGGCTTGACAAATAGGGAGAGCCGAGAAGCCCTGGTGCCCATTGTGAACCAGAGAGGAGAATGTGCCGCCCACACAGTGTTTAAATCAAGAGTGCTCTTGGCTCCACTTTGTGGTTTATTCTCAGGACCTGTTTTTTTTGGTTTTGGTTTTTGTTTTGTTTCTTTTTTCAGCTTTGTACTTTAAACTCAAGGCTTACGTTTTTAACGTCTTTTCCAGTTAGTGATGTTGTTTCCTAGCTCTAGACATAGCTCTTTGACAAGCCGTCTAAAGGCCAGGTAGACAGTGTGAGAGCCAAGGTTCTGTTGTGTAATGTCATGGAATATGTTGATTAGGTCCGAATGATAGCCTAAAGAGAACGACATTTTTTATTTATTTATTTTTTGGTTTTTTGAGACAGGGTTTCTCTGTGTAGCTTTGCGCCTTTCCTGGGACTCACTTGGTAGTCCAGGCTGGCCTCGAACTCACAGAAATCCGCCTGCCTCTGCCTCCCGAGTGCTGGGATTAAAGACGTGCACCACCACTGCCCGGCGAGAACGGCATTTTTAAAGACCTATTTGTTTTCCCTTGGGGGGCTCAGGGGTGAGTTTGGGTCTCATGTAGAGTAGTTTAGCTCACAAAGAAGCTGAGGATGTGAGGATGACCTTGAAAAGTTTTGTTTTGAGAGTCTCACTGTGTAGCCCTGGCTGGCCTTGATATCACTATGTAGATCAGGTCCACCTGTAACTCAGAGATCTGCCTGCCTCTACCTCCTGGGTTCTAGGACTAAAGGTGCTACCACACTCACCCAAACTTGGCCTTGAACCTCCTGTCTCCACTTGGGGACTGCTGGGGTCACTGACCTGCATGCACTGCATGTCCAGTTTATATCAGGTTGAGGATCCTTGCATGGTAAGAAAGCTCCCTACCAACTCCCCATTTTCCACTTTGTGAGCCTGTGTGGAATTGAGGGACTTGTAAATCACTAAGCAAGTTCTGTGTCCTGAGATAGATCCCCAGGATTTGAGGTTAACCTTTATTAACATTAAAGCTTTGCAGTTGAACCAAAGATGAACAATAAGTCTTGAAACTTCCTCTACAGCTCTGAAGGGGCAGCCTTGCCTCTGTAATCATATGACTCCAGATTGTTTTCAGGGGCTGGACTTTGAACACAGTAATTTATTTGTTTCTGCCAAAGGATAATATAAACTCACAAAATGTTACATTTACTTTTGTTTAATCTTTTTTTCTTTGTTAAAGTGAATAGGAAATTGGTCACTGGAAAAATAGTCATAAAATATCATAACAAGGGCTGGACAAATTGTCTTCCCTCCCTTAACTGTTCTTTGTTTGGACAAATCTATGTCCATTGTTCTGCCTGTGGGCAGAATTTCCATGTTCTTCCTTTTGGCCAACTTGGGCCCCTTCCACTTTATAAATGTTAACCAGAGTCCTTTCTGCACTGGAGACTGTTGTTAACACCAATTGTACATTCTAACTAAATTACTCTTTCGTGCCGAACTTAAGTTGGAAAATGAGAAAATTGCAAGCGAAGCTCTTTGTTTTCAGTATCCCATATTGGGATTAGATTTCAAACAGGGCTATTTTTTGTTGATTTTAGTTTATAAATCTATGGCAAATCAAGCATGCACAGTGACAACAATTCTCTGGACGAATGTAGAAATGATCCTTTACAAACACAATTGTGGCACTGTGGCAGCTGAGCATGACTGAAAGTGGGTTTGAAATCAGCACAGCCATGAGCCATCTTGTGACCAAGTGTTTGAATCTCAGAAACTCGGTCTCTTCCTTTAAAAATGGTGAGAAATGAAATGTTGTGAACATTTGAAATGCAGAGAAGCCTCTGCATTTCAGGCTGAGAGCTGGAAATGGGGAGTGTAGTGGTAGAAAGTTTGCATAGCACAAGCCAAGCCCTGGACTGGATTGCCAATGCCCCACACAAAAGGCTCAGATCGTGACTTCTGTTTGCTCCAGTCATTTTATACTCCAAACGTCCATAAATAGGTATTATCATCGTCATCTTGACTTTGACACAGAGTCCCAGGTATTTATCCCAGCTGGCCCTGAACACACTATGCAGTCAAGGATAACTGTCCATTTTTAGTCGTTAAATTTCTTTCATTTTTCTTTTCTTTCTTTCTTTCTTTCTTTCTTTCTTTCTTTCTTTCTTTCTTTCTTTCTTTCTT